CATTCCGAATCCCACTCACCTGTGGGCTCTGTGAGCTGTGCCGAAGGCATCGTTAATGTAAACATCTCCCAGTTTGGACAGGGATGCTCTGAAGGAATCAATCTGCTCCTGGGTGGCCTTGGTCTGAGGGACATAAAAGATTAGAAAGGGTCACAGAAGAAGAACACAGAGGGAGAGAAGTAAAGACAATCAGTGGCTGACGTCTGAGTTTCTTTTCACGTCTCGATTTCACCCACAAATGATTTACAATTTGCCTAAAGACAAACACAACCGGATGAGCATCTGGATTCTAAGCAAGGCCTGTGTCTTCTCTCTCATTATATCCTACCACAAAGAAAATATAACATTGTTGTGCATAAGTCAGGCATTGTTTGATGTTTAAAAATGTAAACTGCTCCTGTTATTTTAGTTTAATATATCATACCAATGAGAAAAATGGTCCATGGCATTGAAAACAGCATTTTATTAATCAGCACGTGAATTAAAATCCTGCTTACTCCTGCTACTATGTGGCTCCAGCATATATGAACAAACTTTGAGCAGCAGTATTCAGTCATTGTGGATCAGGTTTGTGCTGCACTTTAACAGTCAGAGGTCATGACAGAGAGTGGAGTCCAGAAAAAGGTCAAAAGTGCTCTTCAGTGTCGTTCAAATGTCAGACGTGAGTACGGCCAAGTCACTGCTTTTCACCTTTCCCTCTTCAGTCCACATGACAGATTATATTTGTATTAAAGTATTACAGTGTCTCTTTCATAGTTTATAGTATTATCACATCATTATTCCTCTCCTTCATTCACCAAAGGGTTGAGAAACGGTGAAGTGATTTCAGTGTCTGGAGCAACTCTTTTGCTGAGCAATTATTTTATAATAAGATGAGTGTGATACAGTAGAGCGGTACAGTAGAAACCAAACCACACAGGCTACATACCAACCAGGCCTCTCAGGACAGGAAAAGCAACACATGCAGCCAGGACAGCCCACTGACCTTCAGCATAAATGTCAGCAGGACAAGGCTGCTGATCCACTGAGTGACCTGGGATCAGTTTTTATACAGCATAGATATCGAGCATCTTCATCTCATGAAGAGGAACAAGATTATGGTCATCACACAGATGTCAAAGTCTCTTCCTGGTTCCCCTCCAGAGGGAGTGAAGGAAAAGATGGCACATTAGGCGCTGTGATCTTAAATGTCTGTGTGACGAACAAACTTTAGATTCAAAAAGATGATGACGTGAGAGACTGAACTGAATCTTAGCAGTCACTGCAGAGCTCCCGACCATGACATCAATAGATGGTGACTCAGCTCTTTCCGAGCGACACTGCAGCTGGAGTGACTATGCATTTTCCACCAGGTGACCCAGCAGTGAGAATATGTGTCCTACAGCCACAGCTGTACACATCGCTCGACTCACCCCTACCAGTGATACAACCACTCCCTCATTTGAAACAACACTATCTTTGTCCCCTCTTCACACTAACGGATGATAGAGTGTGATGGTAACAGCGTTAATACTGAGTCAAATTAAAAATCTTAAATAATAATGTACTGATGTGAAACTGAATAAATGGTCATATTTAAGTTATATAAACTGTATTTGCAGATTCTCAATACTAACTTAATGTAAACCAAACATATTATGCAACAAATTCTGCCAAACATAAAACAAACAGTAATGTGTCCTCAATCAGAACAGGAACTGAGAGACTCACCTTGTTTCCTGAGGCATCCTTGCCTTTACCCTCTTCAGCGACGTGGAAGCGGAGATTCTCCAGCAGGATGACTGATCCAGTGGCGGGGTTGGCGCAGGCAGCTTCCACCTCTGCACCCACACAGTCCTTCAGGAAGGTGACATTCCTGCAGAGCCCCAGAGGACCAGTGAGGATGATTCATCTTTTCACAAACCCAATATTCTATGATCTTGACAGACCAAACTTAATTATAATTTGTTTAGTGAAAAAATATGAATATTCCAGTTATCAACTCATCTTATGCTCTAAGAAATAAACTGGATGTATAAAGAGGAGTGGGGGGGAAGTAGAAAGTCAGCGATTCAGTCTATAAACTCACTTTCCAAGCAGGGTCTTGAGCTCGGCAGCGACAGGCTCCAGGGAGTACTTCTCAGGCACGAAGTTCCCATCAGGGCGGCCCAGGTGGCTCATCAGCACAACGGACTTGGCCCCGTTGTCCAGGCAGTGTTGGATGGTGGGAACGGCCGCCTTGATTCTGAAAATCAAGGAATATTGACTTGATATTTTCCTCCTGCCACTCTCTCTCTTCTTCTTTTTACAATGTAAATCAGGAACTTACTATTTTTTTAACCGTGAGAACAAAAAGTTGTTGCAAAAAATAAAATGGGCTTTACCTCTGGTTGTTTGTGATCTTCTTGTCCTTCATGGGGACGTTGAAGTCGACCCTGGAAGAGAAAAAACATAATTACCTGGATTAAAGAGACTATTGACATGAGCAGTGCATCAGGGAGGTTTGTGTGATTTCCTGTGTTTCTAGTTAAATTTTAACCAGGGATGTTGCAGTTCATGGTCAGCATTTCCTCTCCCAAGCTAAAGGGACACCCCATGTCATATTATATGTTTTCACACAGTTCCATGCAGTGAAAGGCTTTCATCAACATGTCATTGGCAACCTTTATACTGCTGCTCTGCCCATTGAGCTCTGTGTACCTCCAGCCCTGCAGTGATACAGTTAATGAGAATATGCTGCATCCCTCATACTCCAGTTACATAAGCTCCTTCTTGTCTGAGGACCTGATGAACTGAGACACATGATCAGATTGCAAACACACACACACAAACACACACTGCCAGTGCCATTAAAGCAGCAATCCATTGTCTCATTCTAAAACCCAGCAGTCAGCAGTTCAGAGGCTCAACAGCTCCTGTACAGAGACAACGCTCGGCCAACTACCAACTGTAGTAGTTCTAAGCTGTTTAATAGTTCTTTCTGTTGTCATTAGCTTGGACATTCAAGCTGAGCTGCTCCACAGGCTGAAATAAGCTCAGTGGACGAGTTAAAACCTTGATGGGCAAAGACAAAGAAGTAAGTTAACTAATCAAGAAACCTCGGTGTGGCCAGACAGTTATTTTTACACCAATGGCAGGGAGCTAGTCAGTTGGAGTTTAGTCAGTTTTGTGTGGACAGGAAAAAGTTTTTCTTAGGCCCCATCGGTTCATATAAACTCAAACACTAAGACCAATGAAGATATCTGGCCTCTTCAGAATTTGGCTGCAGGCTACAGGTTATTGTCGGGCAAGGCCAGGTCTCTACAGCAACGTCCTGCCTTTTTAATTCTGGACCAGCCACTCACACAAAGCCTCTCCTGCAATCTGTCTACAGCTGTAAGTTCATGAAACCCGTACAATCGGCATGCTATGACAGGCCCTGGGTGTGATATGAGGTAAGTCAGTGTAACACACTGTCAGTCCACACTGAGTCTAGTTCAACATGTATTTGACCTTTTAACACTGAGCAGTGCAGGCTGGGGGCGGCTGCTGCTGCCAGTGAACCTTGTCCTATGCCAACTGTTGTTACAGCACCAGACTGAGTGAACCAAAATGGCCCTCTGACATTTCCACACAGGTGTCAGTTTCAAGTGCAATCTGTACGCACTGATGTTAGATAGATGTAAGCCTGACTCTCACTGTCTGCAGTGATGTTAGTTTAATGTAAGCCTGACTCTCACTGTGTGCAGTGATGTTAGTTTAAT